ATTAAGGATTATTGACTTCGTCGAAGCTTAAAATCTAAATTTCTAAAAAGAGTCGCAATCATTCATGTTCATCGTTTAAGTCTGAGTCGAGTGAAATATACGGATTACTGATAGCGATATTAATATCATTTTCAGTCAAACTTTTTCTAAATATACACAAAAAAACATCATTAGATGTAATCTAAAAGTGCACTAAAAGTGTGTTAAGTGCCATTAATGCAATTTACTCGACATACCTAAATATTGTGCTCGGCGGATGTTATGCATAGGCCGAGAAAATGCCTTGGAGCGTTCGAGCAAATGTTTCATCGCACGTACATTTCATATTATTTTACGTTAGGTAGAAATCGCCTAGACATCGTAAATGCCGATATATCGATAATTTTAGTAGATACTTAAAGATTTACTTAATATACAACTTATAGATAACAAACAATTTATGTGATTTAAAAATAATTGGAAATTGTTGTGAGGCTTATTGATTTATCCTTGCAAGCCAATGTATTAATGAATTAATCTTAAAATTTACATTAAAATAAAATGAAATTATATTTAAAATAATATTAATAAGAAAAGTATTTTTGTCTTAATTTTTTATTAATTTATTCGTTAAATTATATCTTTAAACGTCTTTTGTCGAAATATGTATCGAAATATTATTTTTTTCGAAATATGATTTTTTTCTCTCTATAACTGGCACGTTTTTCTTCGATAAGGGAAGGGAGAGGACCGGGAACTGTACGATTAAAAGTATATTCTTAAAAATCTGCAGATTATGCCTGTAAATACTCGTATACTTACGATGATGATGTGATACTTATGATGATGATATGATATGAAATATTTCTATAGAATTTTTCGACATTAATTTATTTCTTTTATATCATTAATTAGATATGCTTTGCCAATTGTATTATTTTTTTTTTTAATCTAACAGCTAAATTAATTCCACTATACACTTACAACGACAGAAAATATATTATATAATACCTTACCAACCTCGATAAAATTTTCATAATTTCATTGAAAAGCCTTCTCTCGAGTATATATCAGTTAGATAGAAATGTAATTTTTATTAAGGACGAAGTATCGAAGATCGTTTTAATTTTATTTATGAAAAGTGTATACCGTATACTTTTACGGCTACTCGAATATTTAGGCATAAAATTCACAGATAAATATTTAAAATTTCAGTGGCGCCGTTAATTTCTATAATAGCCTATTGAATGGATTGTATATCGCACGAAGAAAAATTAATTTTTCAATAATAGATTTTACTTCTCACCTTTCTGTACATTAAATGATGTAAAATGTAATTAACAATGTTCTGCAATAAATTTCAATAGAATGTAGATGGAAGAAAATGCATTTTTCTCTTAACATCAGAGAAAATGATAGATCATTGATGCATCATTACTAGAGAAAATCAAAACAATAACTATAATTAGCAAGCGAATGGAGAAAAGGAGACTCAAATAAGTTAAAGTATAATAATCGAAATTGAAAATTCTAATTGAGATGGGAGAGGAAAGTGTAGCAAATAACAAAAGAAACAATAATATCACCTACAGAGCGTAAAATAACGACTATTACCTTTGCGACGTCCCTGATATAATCTTAGTGGACTACTTGGGAAAGGACCGAGAATAGCCGAAGATTATTATTACATTCATGCTTTACTCGATTAATGTAATAGCACATATAGGAAAATAATTACCACTTTTAATGAAAATAAATACTCTGATTTATCACAGTAATGCATTAACTCATTTTTTGTAATTACTACTATAGTATTACTGTCGGTATTTCATGGTATATTAATTCTATGCTTGAACATATGAAAATTCCATAGAAGCGTTAAAAAATTTTTTTATCAAATAAATTCAATCTTTACAAATATTAATATACTTGATTTAGCACAATTAAAATATTTCAAATTTTAAGGAATATAATAGAACAATATTCTTGATAATCTTCAAGTTTTTATTTCTGTGTTTTCGTTAGCTTACGCAATCATGTATTTGAATCTGTAAATTTGCCTTTAAGGCGCTATGGACAAACGAATGTCTACGCTCCAAGCCTAACTATAAGTATAATAATTATTTTAATCCAAGAATTATTTCGCAAGAAATACTTCTTCAATTCATCCAAGTTAAAGTTATATAATAAAAAAGCTGCGATAAAAAAAAAGCTTACTTATTAATAACAGAATACACTGCAGTATAGCTCGAAGGACATTAATTAATCAATGCCAGTGATTTATGTTTGCATATCTCGTTACTTATTTAAATATTTACACAATTGTTTTAAATTATTTTCTTAAATCTAGAAGCCAACATCGTACGAAAAGTCGTAGGAAAAGGTCCTGAGCGGTAAATTTAGTGCTATCAGCCGGAATTCCACGTGGCTGGACGCGAACGTCATCCACTGGAATGGTCATCTTAGGACCTTCCGGGACTTGCCACCGGGACTCGCACACGTATAATTAACCAGTACTTACGCGAGAACGTGGAACTTTGGATCAGTCCAGGGTGAGTAGTCGCTGGACGGCACGCGCCTTACTTGGACGATGTGGATTTTCGGATCGCCGGATCGATGAGTCGCCTCGCCCTGACGCTCGACCCTGTCGGCGCAGGCCCTTAACATCGACTTGACCGACGAATGATCGCACGAGCTCGGCAGACATAATCCGATGAATACCTGTCTGGTCTGAAAATGTTCAAAAGCATGTAAAAGAGCCGGACTCGCCGATCGAGAAAGGGAACGAGGGTGAGGAAAGGTTCTGTAGCTTATACGGTTCATCTTCTGCTCCAGTTAGCTTGCAGCTGACTTAAGTAAAGGCGACAGATGCACACAGAGAGAGAGAGAGAGAGAGAGAGAGAGAGAGAGAGAAACAAGATGGTTTGCATTCCAGAACTTTCCCATTCTCAGCGTAGAAATTGCCTTGCGTAAAATAATTTTCACAATATTCCAAGTGAAATTGTCGTCTATGTGATTAGCGTGGAATTAATAGAGATATTCATAGCTTTCATAAACCCATACATTATATTATAAACCATAATGTAAGTAAAGAAATATATAATAGAACTATTGAATATTGTTAAGCAAGCATTGGAATTTATTAATGCCACGCTTTATAATAATTACTTACGGTTGAAGAGGAAAGGACTATAGTAATATTAAATATTTCTCGTAGTTATCAATCAATATCATTTCAAATTTCTGTATATCGATTATATAATAAAAAGTGACGTGATCCCTCTAATAGCGAGATACAGATAAAATTTATAATTTCATTTCAAAGACATAAATGCAGCTAAAAACCAACTTATATCTGTGTAAATATGTAGACTTATGAACTGCAAAGTATATGCAATTTAATTATACGACGGATCTAAAACGATATTATACGTATAGGACTAAATTTTATATGTATTAGTTTATACAACAATAACAAAAATTGATATTAATAATAAGTTCTGATATTAAATTATTATAATGATGAAACTTGGATGAAATATGGAAAAATATAAAAATTCTAAAATATTAATATGAAAGAGTATGAAACCATATTTTCTTAAGTATTTAGATTCAAATAAATTGTTGAGGCTGCCGAAATAATCCATTTTTAAGTGTAAATAATAGACAAAATACTTTTAACATATTGCATTAAATACAAAATTAATTTACATAAAATACTAGTATATATAACAGGCGAACGAAAAGATTTAATAACAGATTGTTGAGTTAGCTTTTAAATCATTGTAATTTATCAAATAAATTTGTGTCTTTACATTTTGCAATAAATTTAAATAACTATTTAAGGATTGCGCCGAGATAAGAAAATTTACTTTTTAGACATTTCTAACTATTTTTCGAAAATTAGGTATATTTTGGTGGAAATTGAACAATGAGTGAGCGTGCGAATCACTTTAAAATTGACATTTTCTCTGGCTTCAGTTAATTTTTACCGACAATGGAACGCCAGTTCGAGATATTATACAAAATTCTCTAATGTATTAGAAAATCGATTGAAATTTTATTAATTATAATTATAATAGTCTACATATTAAATATATATTTATTTGCATAAAAATTTTTATAACATTTGATTGAATTTCGTAATAATATTAGGCGTAATTTAACAATGCAAGTTCGCCCGGATTTTCCAATTAATCAGCTTCTCTGTAAAATAACTGATTAATTCTAATTGCACGCTATAAATAATATTACCTATGACAATTCCACTATCATCAATTAATAAAGTATTATAAAACAACAGGATATTTTATAATTAATCGAGAAGTAGGCGAAAGGAACTAGTTAAAAAAAAAAAAAAAAAAAAAAAAAACTTAAAGAGAAATTAAAGAGAAATTAATTCCTTTAGTTTGAAAATATAATGGACTTAGAGCTTATTTAAATTCGATCGACCTAAGTTGATAATATTATTGTGCTTACGATGAATTACGATAAATTCCTATAAATTGAAGTTATATTAAAGGGCTAGTACATTGAAATTATTGTAATGAATATAATTATTTCGTTTACTTCAACATCAACATTGAATATACCTTTAATGAAGACAGTAAGTGGTATATTTATCCTGTATTTAGATGTTACGGAATTACCTGCAAAGTTACATGAACGACCTGAAACGCGAGAAGGTGTAAAATTGTTCTGCCTATAATACAAATTTCGTTTTCATTTGATATCTTTATAATTTTAATCGAACAAAAAGTCCTAATATCATAATATTATAATAGTAATAGATAGTAGAGAATATATTGATTGACATGTACCAGTTAAGCATTTATGTTAATGTTGTGAATGATTCAGGACATTTTTTAATATTTTTCTTACGAAACTTTACCTTTGTCTCTAAAATGCCATGTAAATCTAATCTTCTTGCATTAAACGTTATTTTGATGTTGATTGAGGTACTTATTAATGCTTTTAGATTCTTTCGTGAAATAATTAACGATTCGTCAATGTTCTTATGGAAGAATAAATTTTGCAATTTCTTTGGCTGACAGCAACAAACTGTCGGAAATTATAAATTTGCATTAACAATGGAATATTACAGCAACCTGCCAATTTCTTTTAATTCGCTCGATTATTGTGCCAATTAATTCTCATAGTTACGATGTTATTTGCAGGCCGACCAGTAATACAAATGGCAATTTTACTAATAATGAATCGACACTATTGCCCAACGTTTAATCCCAATTGATAATTTACTTCGCGATAACAAATGAAGCAAAATGCTAGAGGTAGTTTAATAACTTAATCACATTTCATCATGATGTTTTGTCGTTTCTTATTCGCTTAAATTTGTCAAGAGCTTTTCTAAGAGGAGAATAAAAAAAAAAAATAACGCATTATCAGATGATTATTTTCTTATATCAACGAATATTTTCTCTTCATTCGTTCATTTCGCCTATAATGTTCTTGACGTTAATATTGTCGTTAATACTTTTGTTGGATGTTATATGTACGGAATAATGATATTTCCCGAGAGATCGTAAAAATAATAAAGTGAAATAGAGTGGAGGAAAAATATTCTTACTGGTATGTGGCAAAGAAAAAAAAAAAAAAAAAAAAAAACACAAAATCTTGCATAAAATGATAAATTGAATATAATAAACAGATAATTTATCTAAACATTGCCAACGATAATATAATCAATTACGTTTTATAAAAATTCCCATGCATGTGAATTATTCACATCTATATGTGCAATGATGCATCATGATTGTAGAGAGAGAAACATTATATAAAGTATGTGCAATTTATATAATAGAAATACGAAGCTCATAATTAACATGCGAATGCTCTCTCTTTTCTCATCAGTATACATCATAAAGTTCTAAATTTTACGACAAAAGAATTAAGCCGGCAAAGCCCTACTACGTGGTCTAATTAGTTATGGGAAAAGCTAAAGCCAAAGATTTCACATAGACCACTCGATTTATAGCGGTGCATTAAATTGCAATTGCCATGTACACACGCCGAGGTGCACAGATACAAACGCAGATACAGTCGAGCATCGCCAAAATTATTAATCATCTTGGAGGGGAAAATTCGCTGAAGCGGAGCGCGTCGTTAGAGGCGTCGCGATTTTCCACGCAGTCACTCCAAGCAGCACTTGCCCCCGCAATAATACGTAGAACGGGCCTCGTCGAGATTATGCAAGCTCCGTATAATCCACCTAACAACTCGGGCGTCTCGGCGGTAAACGAGGAGACATTTTTCCTGCGGTGGTGGACCATTTGGCGCTAACTGCAAAATGAACATTCCCAACGACGACTCGCCCGTATTTTCCCTTCGGGTTTCGTCACAACTGCGGCTGCATGCACGTAGCCGCTTGCCGGGGAGACGAAGAAAGTACTGTCACGCGCTCTTTCTACAATATATTCCTACAGTATACCATTATTGGGCGCTCGAGCCGAGATTACGAGATGCTGGAAAAGCACAAGGATGAAGGTACGAAGGTAGACGTCGATGGGCCAACTTCCCGAGGTTGCGCTCTCGGATTATCCGAGTTATATCGTCCTTTAATATTATATTTTTATCCATTAGTTGATGGTTTATAGCTTCCATAATACGCGCACCTACGGCTCTTATGATTTATGTAAAATCGTTCTTTACAAAATATCGGCAATCTCTTTGCATTATTACGAATAATGCTACGTACTGCCCTTAAATTTTTAATGGCTATGCATTGTGATGTCTTTGCATAATTAAAGGCTCTCGTTTGACGGTCTAATAATTTAATAAACATTTCGCATCTTTTCGTAAAAGTTTCGGATCTAAGAGAAATTTCAACTGGCTTCGTTTAGACACAATCAATGGAACATAGATGTATCGATTTTCAATGGACAATTAATCTTTAAATTTGAATTCGTACTATTACAAAATTAATTATTTAATAAAACGATCGTTGGCTGGTATTGGTTTTATTATTCTTACTGCGTGACAATATGAAATAATTTGTCCCTACAAACGATATAATACAAAAGTCAATTAATCTAAATGATTTATTTCAAATTATTATACCGATTATGTTTATTCGCAGAACAGATTATTGCGGCATTATTGCTGGATTTGCCGGTTGTGCGCTGCAAAGGGAAAAGCCGAAACTTGAAAGTCGAGTGCACCAAGTCAGCCAGGTATCCCATTTAATTTGAGTGAAATTCCGTATGGAGTGGTTGAGTGGAATGACTGACTTAATATGAGAAATGCAACTGGAACTTGAACGGGTGATATCGCAATACCCCACCGAGCTTTGACTTTGTATTATTCGAAGCTTTGCAGCAGCTTTTGTTATTCTTCTTCTCTGACATTTGTTGGATAAGGAACGGGTCATCGGACGGATGCATCAGGACACGAAGAAAACGAAGCGTTGCGCAAAATTCCCTTCGGGGAGGCATTCGAAGGGCTACGGGAAGGTAGGTTCAGGTTTTTCAGGTCGGATAAATTATAGATGAGTAGTGTCGGAGAACATTCTCGGGGGAATGTTGAGAAATGAGACTTATGTATCACATAAAAAGCGTTTATTTCATATTGAAGATGGGGGTGGGGCAGGTAAAGAAGAGATTAAGAAGGACGCATTTATCTCAGGTGGGAAGTGACCATAAACTTTCGCTTAATATTTAACGGATTTCGCATGGATTTTGAATATTTTAGCCTCGAGTTTTATCAAGTTCGCGAATGAATCTCAAAGCTCGCAAAGCTACAAAAAAAAAAAAAAAACATACGTATAAATTTATGAGAGAACGTTATTATCGATAAAGTCGGATTCGTTATATCGGGAAATATTTATTTTATATCCAATTTTCTTCCCTTCCCTGCCGCTTGACCGTTTCATCAAAAGAACCAATGTAGCGCTTTGGAAGGAGAAAACAGGACTTTATTTTCATTATCTCCACACCTCATTCTCAAATAATTTCATTTATATATGCATATATATATATATATATATATATATATATGCATTCCAGAATACCATGAAATTTTTGCTCTAAATTCATGTTAGAATTAACGAGCACTCGTTGACATTTAAAAGACGATTTTAGCAATTGACCCCGACTGAAAATTCCAATAGGAGAAAAAACGTATTTAGATCTCTTTTTCCGTTGAACGCTTCATCCCATAATAGGATTACTCAAAGTTTCCTAGCGCGATCGATAACGAAATCACTCTTAGGGCGAATGTTATTATCGTAATTTTTTTTCACCCTGGCGAAGGAGTAATCGGAAAATCTCGTTTGCCATGTACACGTCCATTTCCTCCCTATTCCCTCCTCACAGTCGCTTCGAAATAAAAAAAAAAAAAAAAAAAAAAAAAAAAAAAAAAACAAGAAAACCCCTCTCTCTCTCTCTCTCTCTCTCTGTCTGTCTGTCTGTCAGTCTGTCTTTGTCTCTGTATCACACGCTCTCGGGGGTTGAAAAAGAATCGGAGCTGGCTAAACTTACCGAGGTCTCGATGTCGCTTGGCAGCATGAAGAACATGCGCGTGACGTAGAACTGCACGTGGAACGGGAGGCTGTCGTTGAATGGGCGGCCGGCTCTGGCCTCGGTGCCATTGAGCTCCCGGCACAAGGTGCTCGAGCCCAGCCAGAAGCCGTTTCCGAAGTGATACTGGGAGGAGTAGCGGCCGCTCGCGTCCGACACTGAAAAAACGGTAAGACATACGTCAGTTAGCTTATCGCCCTTTCGAACAGCCCTAGCGAATAACAGCGGCAAACAGCGGCTTCTTAACCTCGTCTCCTTGGAAGCTCCCTGGAAACTGGACTGACTGGCCGGGTATTTTATTCGCTTTTTATGAGCACGAGGGCTGTGAGTGAAAAATGAATGGCTCGGCCTAGCCAATATAGCGACGGTGGGGGAGGAGGTTGGAACTAATCTACGCCGATGGTAATGTTGCCGAATGCTTTGAGGGAATAATGAGGCCAGTAGCATTGGGAAATTCCGTGAAAATCGTCGGCGGAGGGATTAGGTGCGTGATTTGCTTATTTCTCGTGATGGATGATAATTGAAGGAGGTGAGAACTATTTGTGGCTCTTTGCATTCTTCTCGGGACGATTTAGCGCCTCTGCGCTTCTAAACCTATCGAATTGCTTAACCTTTACGGAAATACGAAATATTCAATAGGAGTCAATTTAATTAAAATATCCCGAATCAAATGACTTTGTCAACTTTATGCGTAGGGGAATAGTTTTAAATCAAGCTCGTTGAAAAATACATTCACTCGGGATTAAGCAATTCGATCAACTGTCATTTTTCATTGGCGAAAGTATTAATCGATCGGAGATCGCCGTAGGAAAATGCTTATAAACTATCGAGTGAAATCGACTTATCTTTCGAAAACTTTGAATTACTTTCAGTCGAGCATTTGCTCTAAAAATTGAAAAACTCAATAATGGCGATAGGATGCACGAGAACTTTTAATAATATTGAAATATCCGGTGCTCCTTGTCCGTTTCAAACGCCTGTAGAAACTCATCGTGCGTTTGTCGGCAAAAATTCAATCCGTCCGCTTAGCGGACACGTGACTGTCAATTTTATATAAAAGACTGGATTCGCGCGTAAATCTTGATAAAAAGTGCCTATCAAAACAAGAGACAAGCAGCCCTATTATGCGCCTAATAACAATGCCTGGCCGAGTTCACAAGACTTTGCTAAAAGGTTTGTTAATTATTCCCTCGAGGCACACATCGTATCAAGCATAGACTTAATTTTCTAATAGATTTCTTTGAAAGTCTCGGTAATATTTGAGATATTTTTCTTAAGAGCATCAAGTGCCTAATTATATACGAAACATAAGCAACGCACACACTCTACGCATACATAATTCTACGCAATCATTGATTATTTAAAATTACGGAATTTCTTTACTTTTTTCCCTGCCTATTAACAACTCCATGTTGATTTTTGTCGTTTTCTTTGCTTCCCAATGAGCAAGGCACTAAAATATTAATAAACCTTGCGATTATATTTGTTCTTTGAGCCGGTAGTAGGACATAACATTGGCCCAATATCGCGGTTTGCCATCATCGATAATGACATACAGAAGAACTCGTTAATTACGTTCATTATTTCATTAAGAATGCAAGGATATTTCGCAAGACAACAAGCACGCGGACACACGGAACGAGCACAAGAAATTTTACCCCCAACGTTAAGGTGCCGAGCGAACGTTTAATCCAAATCTCCTTTAATCGCCTGGGCGCATAGATCAGGTGGGGCAAAAAATTAAAAAAAAATATGGATGAGAGGAGAACTACAAGAGAAGAAGAAGAAGAAGAAGAAGAAGAAGAATAAGAAGAAGAAGACGAAGAAGATGATGAAGAAGATGATGAAGAAGATGACGAAGAAGATGATGAAGAAGATGATGATGAAGATGATGAAGAAGATGATGAAGAAGATGATGATGATGAAGAAAAAGAAGAAGATGATGAAGAAGATGATGATGATGAGAGAAAGGTAAAAGCTCACTTGCGATATCGACCGATCAACCTACGCGAATAACGAACGAGTCGAACAATAAGCAGCCCTCCCGATCCGTAAAATTGCCGGACATTAATCCGGCCCTCAGCCTCCGTCGTTCCTCCGCGTTTGTTTAGCAATCGCGCGCCGTCCACCGATTAGGGCGCCCCGGGATATCAATCGCCATTTTCCTACCGGGCTTTCATTCCCCATGCTTCTCTTTTCCTCCGGATTATCTTCAGCGCTGATGAAAGCCGATGAAAGCCGATGAAAGCCGATGAAAGCCGATGAAAGCGGATGAAAGCAGCCACTCTTCCGGCTAGCGCAGCGCGCGAAATTCATCCGCCGAGGAAGACGGCCTTTGCATCCGTGTACGGAAAATCCTTATTATTAGATCGCGAGGCACGCCGACGAGTTTCTCGTCATTTTCCCAGGTTTAGCGAAGCGAGCCGTGGCGGCTTTCCTGTCGATCATCCACCTCCTTCTAATCTTCCCACCTCATCCCTTATCGCCGCCCGCCCGTCGCCCCCTCGCCACCTCAAAGCTACGGGGGCGTTTTTTTCACCGCGATTTTAAGGAGTGTTGCGTAATGTGATGAGATGATATCGCATATCACGAAGCGATATTACGCTTGACGTAATCTCATATTTTAAAGTGCCGAATCAAATTCGCTCGTTCCTTTGGCTGTTCGGCTCCGTAATCTCGTCCCTACCTTTCTTCGGCGCTTTTTACGACACTCGCTTGCTTTATTAAATATTTGCGCATCTAAATGATTATGTTACGTATTCAATTTATTCACTTGCTCCCTACTGCTTAATTGAAATTTACATTAAAAAGAAAATAGATGCTTTAAGAGACACGATGCAGAACACCATTTTATATTTAATTAAGCATTAAAAGTGGGAGTCTTGATATATATATTTATATTCCGTAGAAAGTTTTTCCAACTGTGATTTGCAAGGAACTGACTTTTCAATTACGATAAATTAGAAAACGATAAATAAGAACTGAAATGAAAAATATGGCGGTATTTTTACACTCGAGCCGTCACTATGTACTATTTCTTTTCAATATCTTTCATCTCATGTTCCTCCCCGCTCGCATTCTCAGTTTCTTAGATGTGGAAAAGGCATGCGTAAGTGCGTTGTAATTCGGCGAGGAGACGTCGAGGAAGATTTTAAATAGTCGATTCAAAACAATGACAATAATTGAGAGAAGATAATTATTTTTCACGTTTACATGTAAATTGAAATTGCGAGACACACAATGGCCTTAATATCAATTTTCCCCAATTTTCATCGCATTACCCTTTCCATCTAATTTTCATCGTTTAACGACAATTTATATCGACGATTGTATCGTTAATTTTAATAATTCATTTTAAAAGTCGGCAATACAATAAGATCTTGTTTATACAAATTATGCGCAAAGACTGACTCTCGTAGAAATTAATAACATGCAATAATGTAATTTACTATGTAATCAAGAGCGAGCAAATTTTTAATAAAATCTTTATTTTTCACGCAAACTATTAGAAATTAAATGTCGTGTCTCCGAAATACCTATACATATGCACGTACATATACAAGTAAAATAACATCTCACATTGGTGGCCTCTTTTTCTTCGTCTTTTTTTTATTTTATTCTTTTTCTTTTTTGTTTTAATATTACGAATAATCATACGAAAAATATAAATATTAAATAAACTTGCTCCCGGGTTTGACTTATCAAATGCTTGACCATTTGCATATTAGAGCTGCAGTCAAATTAAATTACATTATAAAACTTCGGCCATCGTATATCTCACTCCATGTTATTCCATCTACCCGTTGTTTTACTCTAACGAAATTAAAATAAACCATTGGCATAAATGTGTATCCATATGAGAGGGATAAAATCTTGAAACCCGTTCGAAAATTGCTGGACGATGTACTTTGTTTATCCTAAAGTCCGTAATGCAATTAAATACGAGTCGGAGGCGTAAGTGAAAAATAAAATGGCCCGATGGTTTTGTTCATTTTTGGCCGCGAATGTCCCACGACATTATCACCCGACTCCAAGTGTCTTCCTTGTCCACTTTGCATGCCACTCACTCATACTCGCGCGTAGCTACGCGAATTTCTCAACACCTCCTCAATCAAGGCTAATACATATGGGATGGCGTTGAGTTCCTCCTACACACTAGCAATGTAAACATTGAGAGGCAAGAAGCGCTCGATCAAGCAATCCAGCCTCTACATTGTGCCATCGAAGTTTTCAGCCGCGTGGAAATCGTCACTTCGTTATCATCGGTTGATCATTGGTCAGGGGTGGGGATAGGGGGTAAAAAGACGCTCGCCCAACCTTAGCATTGAAAAATTGACGGGAGGTAGGCATTGGGCGTTCGGGTAAGGATACCGTGATAAGGACGTGGCGCGAGGCGGAGGTTCATTGCCAGGTTGCGTAAACGGCGGCCCACGGCTCCGCCGAGTAGAAAGTGCGATTTCGCGGAGGCTCGTGGCAGCGGCCTGGCATTACATCGGCCGAGGCATATATTTTCTCTTATTACGAAAAGTTATTAGCGGCTTCATTTTTAGCTTGGAAAACTCGCGGCTCGGGATGTCGCGGGTGGCAGGTAAGATAGTAAGGTCGATGGTCGAGGCATTACCGCGACTCGGCGCAGTCGAACTTCACATCGAGAAGAGAGAGAGAGAGAGAGAGAGAGAGAGAGAGAATCGAGACGATTTTGAGGGGCCGAATTAAGGTATCAGGACAATCGGCGCTGGGAGTCGGCGGCCATTATTGCATTGAGAATAAATAAATAATGCATCGAGGCGCCTTTGATTCAATTGTCTTGCGGTCAGTCTTCGCGGAGGGAATCGCGCACTCGAGCTTCTTTCTCCGTTCGTCAATGTAATTTGGCTCTTCGATGCAATGTAAGAGCCGCCAACGAGTGCGCTCTTATAATGCGCATTACATAAGCCAGGGAATGTGATTTTTCGGAAGATAATTTGTAATAACTTGTGGCTAAAATCTAAGTAACCGAGCAAAATTTTGAAAGAGCGCTTAATGGCGATGCATGCTTTTTATCTTCTAGGTACGCGCCTCGTTTCAGGTGTGCATATGTATAAATTTAAGCAAACGTTCAAAACTTATGACTGTGGCGCAAAAAGATTTGCTCGCACATTAGCAAATTGTGCCTCTCGCCTGCATTACAAAATCTTTCGAAATAAATGTCCGCGATAAATATAGCCGAAATATTACCGTTAATCGAGCTTAGTCTAATAAAATATACTTTTACATTCACAAAGCACGCTAATCGTCCCGTTTCGTGCGAATATTTCGTGCGTTTCGCAAACAATAATAAAGCTTAGAGAGTATCGATCGAAAGACCCATGCCGCGACTCGATCTTATCGCAATATCGTAAACGAGTGAAACGAATGCTCGGCGAATGATAAAGTACTTGAAAGGACAACGGATCGAGGATTATTGAAATTCCCGGCTAGCGGAAAGGAAAGGCAAGTAACAATCGAGTATGCCCGAGCGTACTATACTCATTCGGAAAGCCCGAGGATAATTACGTGAGAGAGTGCACAACGGCCCTCAACGCCGCCATTAACCAAAGCCCTCGAAACGCGTATATTCGAGTGACTTTTTGCAGCTGCTGCTCCACCCGCGTAATCTAGGCATAGGTGAGGCGAGAGAAAAATCGGCACGTATCACGTATTATCTGATCTTGAAAAAGGAGGTCGAGATACGAAAAGGGTCGACACGAGAGATACGACCTGCGCATGTGCGCTCCTACCTTCAAAAGTGCATTGCCAACGGCTCCGAACGCACGGCAACGCCCGTAACTTTCGTAACACTGCTTAGAGACTATATAATTGCATCTCTGTTCTCCGCGCGTCCCTCCCACCCTTTCCTCGTCCACCACTCGATAAACCCACATACGACGACTCTCCGTCTCCCTCGTGCAATATCGATCTATCTATCTATCTCAATGTCTAGCTCTCCTTCTCTCCCCCCCCCTCCTCCTCCTCCTTCTCCTCCTCCTCCTTCTCCTCCTCCTCCTCCTCCTCCTCCTCCTCATCCCATCCCCGTCCACCATTAGCATCCCTCTTCCGCCGCCCCACGACTACAAGAGCCTTTGACACAATTTGGCAAACGCAATTAAGGGTGAGCGTCGAAGGTGAATTGCCTAGATTGCAGAAAATGCCCTTTTGTTATAATTTCAATATTAGCGGCGATATAGTTGCACGAGAGCTCAAAGTGCTCGCTCGCTCATGGTGAGCCACACCATTACTCCCAACGAGATAAATCAACTCGACTTTTCGTTATTCTTCGAATTCATGAGAATGACGGGGCACGCGATATTCCGATACTCCGGTATCTCTTACGCGGCAATGGCACCTTTCCAGCCAACGATTTCTCAGCCTCTCGACTTATCACGTCCGACACGCCGGTCCTCGTAATCATTTACCCCCCCCCCCCCCCGCCTCCGCAACATACTCATTGTTGGCAAAAAATCAGCGAGCGACCTCTCTTTCGCAACGACGATCGACACTCGGGGCAAAAAGCACCACCGCCCCCGAGGCCTTTACTAAAACGGCCAACGTAAGAGGCGGCAATTACAAATGGCCGACGAGCGCGAGATCGGCATCCTCCCGAAACGCGCGCCACTCTTGCTTTCTATAAAGTTTCCCGAGCCGCCGCGAGTCCCAATTCCCGACCACTTGCCCGAGCACTTGCGCCACCGCTCGTAACGCTCACACAGGTGGAGGCTAGTCAAACTTGATTTTAAAACGCTTTCTCGGAGACGCGAGTGAAATCGATTCTTCCTCCTACCTTTAATTGTTTATAATAACGGCCGGGACTTGCCGCTCTCCGCCATTTTCTCACTCTTCTCCTTCGTCTACTGTTTTACCATTTCTCCCGTTTTTTTCTCCCTTCCTTTCCTACATAAGCGCGTCCACGGGCATGCACGCACACCCTCGCTGTTTTGTTTTTTGTGTTATTTGCCTTCTTTTTTTTTTCTGCTCCATTCCACTCGGTCCAAGCGACTTTATCTAGCGACGTTTCGAGCAACAACTGCGTCTCCTGCCCGTCTCGACTCTTCCGTTTTCACTTCGTTTCACTCTTCGCGACAACGAATTCGATCTTTGTCGAAAGGAGCGAGGCGCAATTATCGGTGAAACCATGGCCTGCTTCGAAATCCCAAAGTAGGCCATTGTTTCGGTTGAGAAAAACGTGATTTTGTCATAAGGAATGGCCGGTGCAAGTGGCCAGCCGTGACGCTGGCACATTTGCTGAATCAACAGACCGTTTTTGCTAAGTATTGGCGTGTATCGCGAGCGTGTCGACCATGATTTTGCTTTGAAAGATTGCGAAACATCGTCGGCTCCTCGATCTAGTCTCGACCTACGATTTTATATCAATATGAAAGCGTTGATTTCTATTCGTTACAAACATCGACGCACTATTTCCCTTTCATTTTGCGTTTTTACTTTGGGAATTAATTCAGCCGGAGAGCGAGATTGGCCGTGTCCGCGTCAACGCGCCTTTGCCTTACGAGGGGAAAATCGGTATCGCGAACTATCGTGCCGAGGAGGGCGCGGATGTTTGCGCAAGGGAAAATAAAACACGATCCTACGAGAGACTACGACCGATCGGCATCCGGAGATTTGCTTGCGAGGTGCGACGAGGCCCCGGTCCTTATATTTGCCTACGTGTCCACGAGGTGACGAGAGGCTCGACTGCGTCATCGCCAAGCCCTTCGTTATCTTCGTTCGGGATGCGAGGGCCGATGCGAAGCGCAATCGACCGGCCAATAGGGGCCAGTTGGGACCAGCGTGAAAAGTGTGTATAACTCGGTTAGCATTAAAGAGTCGACTTGAACTCACACTTGGCAGCCCACAATTTCCCTCTCTTAAGGTCGTTCAAGAAGAGGGTCATATCGTCCCGGCACTCGTCGCTAATATCCCCGGGTATTTTCGTCCATCGCAGCGGATCGTAAAGGTCGGCGAGCCACTGGATGCTATTGGCGTTCTTCTCTAGTCTGTCCTTCATGAAGTCGAGGTCGAGCTCCTTGGGCCTTGTCTTCTCCTCGAGCTCGGCGACCTTCCGCACCTGGCTCCTCCAGTCCAGCTCCGGATTGTTCTGGCTGAATTCGTGACGGGGCCGCGACGACGCCCCGGGATCGCTCGCATTGAGCGGCAGCTCGAGTCTAGTGGGCCCGGTGCTTCTTGGCCTGCCCAGTCGGAGGATATTGGACTCGTTGCCGGCGGCTTGGCACTCGAGCCGCGAAAGCGCCAAGACCGCGAGGAGCAGCAGCGCCGTCGGCAGCCAGCAGGGCCGCGCTCGGCACATCTCTTGGCTTTTTCGATCGAGTGGCGCGGGCTCGGTGATGGCCGGGGGCCAGAGGGCCGGCTGACACGACGATGTGCGTCCTTGGTGGGATAGCGCTCTCTGGTCGCCGGCTCGCCTCCAACTGACTGGACTCTTATCTCGCGCGCGGGTCCCCCCCCCCCCTCGTCCCA